TCTTAAATTAGAAAAATTAGGTACTCACAATAAAACAAAGTTAGGTCAAGGTTCAATGGATCAAATATGATTCCATGTTATATGTATGACTTCATATAAAATTCTATTCTTTTTCAATTTAAAATTTTATAATTATTAAACGAGAAATAAGAAACATCAATATTACCATCGAGTCTGTAATTTGAAGCAAAATAAAGTTTAAAATAAGATGAGAACCACCTAATAAAAGATTAAATGAATTGTGTGAAATATCTAAAATTGGTTTGGGCTAAGAATGGTTAGCACTAGGATATCCATTTTTTTAACAAAAGTTGAAAAATGAAAAGAGAAAAAAGAAAAAAAAAAAGGAAAACTATCTTGTTACAATCACATGGAACATTTAATACTTGTTTCCTAATGAAAGAATTCAAATCACATGGAACATTAATAATGTTGGTTTTTTTCCTCTGTCTGATCATGAAAAGAGAACTTTTTGCTTACTTTATTCCTAAATAGGGAGAAAAGAAAACAGTACACTACAATCTTTGCACAAACAAATTATGGTAAAATACACTTTCAATAAAATACAATTTTCATCCGCAAGGTTTAGATTTGTCTCCTTATGGCATATTTTGTTCTTGAGGTTTGATTTTAGTTTTTAATTGGTTCAGTTTGAAGTTTGAGTTTGGTTTTTAACTGAACTATTAGTTTAAGATTGGTTGATTTCAAGAAAAATGACGATCTTTTAAACTCAATGATCAAATGGGAAAAAATGTAACTTACTAGACAAATTATCGTCTCAATCCAACTTTCAAAACCAAACTTTCAAAACCAAAAGTATTTCAACCGGTTTGATTTCGGTGAGATTGATATTTTATAGATTAGGTCGAGTCGAAACAACCCATTTAAATTTTTAATTTTGAACTTTGAATGATACTAATGGAAACAAAAACTACCCATGACATGAGGGAGAGAGAACATGAACTTTGTTTTGGAAATTATAAATTTGATGAAAATGAAGAGATGAAATATATCAGATTTATCAATACAAACAAGATCTTGAAAACTATTATCCCAAATTCCCAAAAGGGGGAAGAAGAGGG